TGATCTATCCTCCCCCACCGTTTAGGAGCCGCATCTGACGCCTGATCATGGGGTGGTGGCGTCCCACGGAAGCGGAAAGGTGGTTCTTGACCAGGGAGTTGTACGACTCCTTGTTCTTGACCTGCCCGGTACGTGAACCCGTCGAATTTTTTTTCGACCTGAAGAAGGCCTATGATTCAGTGCCCAGGGGGTGTCTGTGGCAGGTCCTCGGCCATGCGGGAGTACCAGAAAAGCTAAGCTTATCAACATCATCCGGTCGTTCCACGACCCCATGTCAGCATGCCCCGTTCAGCATTGGCAATGGTCTTCGCCAGGGGTGCAATGTGGCGCCGGTCCTTTTTGATATCTTTATGTGGGCCGTGATGACCCAATGGCAAGACCGCGTCAGGATAGTTGACGGGGTTGACTTCGAGCTCCGCTCAGTATACAGCAGCGATCTATACCGTAAACCCCGCCGTGGCGACCAACACCATTGCCTAACAGATTCCCAGTTTGCTGACGACTCTTGCCTATTCGCTACGACTCGGTCTGGAGCGGGGGCAGCATTGTGCTGTCTTCATGAGGTGGCGTCGGGATTCGGCTTGACCGTCAGTGCAACGAAGACTCAGTTTGTAGTTGTTGGCCCCGACATCACGCCTACTGACCGCGCTCCCCTCCAACTAGTTACTTGGTCAAGCGGAGGTGGAATGCGTACCGCAATAGATGACTTGCACAAAGATCCGAGCCGCGAGTGACCCTGTGCAGTGTGCACCCAGGCTACACTGCGGGCACCCTACAGTACACCGTCTGTAGTGTACTTTTTTTGTCAGCATGAATGAACGGTGCACGGCATGTACATGATGTACATGTACATGATCAGTACCGTCACTGTCTTCACGACTTCAGCAGCTCACGAGTCATGTGCACTTGTAGGGTTAGTGGAAGTACATGACTGTATATTATGTGAACAGAAGCCAGGCGTCCAAACCAACCCAAAATACTCTTGCCATATTTTTCGGTGAAATAGTTATAAAAAATTTGTCTTACTAAACAACAGTGAGCATAGAAGCAACCTCGATGCACCCAATAATATGGCATCCGGGAACAGCAAGTGTTGCACGAGGATCCCAAGAACACGTCAAGTTCCATGCTACCCGCCGCCATCAAAAGAACGAAGGACAACTGTGCTAGCCTAGTTCATATTCAATGTAACGCTATCGGTACGGGATATAGGAGCCTGTTGGGAAGGCGTGGGTGAGCTGTTAAAATCTTGTACGGTTCGCACAGCACAACATACATGCAGCAGTTATTGCGACGGTTAACGTCGATGGACGAGAGTCATAAAGCACAGTCCATGGGGGTTGACGTTTCTGGGCTTCCTTTCCGAAAGGAAATTTTTATTTCTTCTCTAATAAAGCAGAGTCATGCTGATTATACCAGTCTGTTATGAAGACAAGAAAGCAGCCATGGACATTGTGCCACACTAAAGGAACGACAGGTAAAAGATGAAGCACTTCATCTGAAAACTCAAGGACTATCCATAAATACAGCAAATGATAATCCTAGCCTGGTAATGTCCAACTCCGTCATGTGAGCCATTCTGTGGGAAGCATAATGTTCGAAATGCTGAAATTTGAACAGTTGCAGGTGTGCTCGTCGCCACACAATGCCATCGCCAGTTCACATTCGAAATGTAGCCATTTTTACGCTTGTGTCCCTGTACACGGCATGGAAGGCTGAACAGATTCAACTCTTCCATCGCTTCCTGATCTGTACAGTAGCGCGGTCGCGTTCCCGTTCCTGACACTCACATCCGTCTCCGCTAACCAGCATCATGAGCACTCCAATGGTTCCCGCCGCTCCTTCCGTATCGTCCCAGCGCGCCCCGTCAAGATGTGAATTACTGTAGGCAACGGAGCCAGTGTATGATGAAGGCGAATGCACTGTTTGATGATGCTCCAACAAATCCTTTCACCGTTGTATGGAATTTGTAAGAAGAGTAGCGGCTCAACTGTAGGTCCAACGCAGAAGGTACCTCACAGCGCAGTTATGTTACGTCCACAATAATGAACATACTCAGCAGACTGTGATGTGTATCAGACAGACTCTGGCATTATTTGTTCCACATTCTCCCAGGAGGAGATGAAATGTAGTGCAATCATGTCTTCAGTACATGGGTACCGTTGCCTCGTTGCAACTAAACAGGTATGCAAGTTACTTTCCCATGAGACCCAGCCGGAGCAGCATCGTCGTCATTACCAGCTAATCATGAAGAGGTATAATGTGACTTTCCACCACTCCCTGATTCAATCATAGTTTGCGAGCCTGCGCCAAACTGCTTTCTCACTAGAGCCAGGCATCGGATACATATGGCTTCAGTAAGGTTTACAATGCTATGTCTCTGGCCTAGATCCAAGCCTAGATACAGCTGCTCAGAGTAAGGGCTGATGAAATGTTCATATCGGAACAAGTGAGACTTCAACAGTAGCTAGTACACATCAGGCCTGAGGACTTCGCAGCGTTTCTCCAGCACACTTGTTCTCTCCTTCAACTCAGATACTACTTGAAGTACTACTAAAGGCCATCTGGCTCTCATACTCAGTCCTTCCACCCTTCATTTTCGTGGTTTAGGCTTCCACTCGTCACTCGGCAGGTTCCTGGCCTCTCCGCAGTCTGTCCTCAGGAGAGGGTCGCTCTGGAGCTAGTGCAGCCGATTGAAAGGGAATCGAGTTCTTTCTCAGACGTCCACAAACTTTCGTTGTGCTTGACTTCGCTTCCACTGCGGGAAAGTAGTCACACTTCAGGACCACGACGTGCTTGTTTTTCAGCCTACACCAATGATACTAAAATAAATATTCCCTCATTTTTCTGCCTCCCGCCCGGCCGGCTCGGAAAGGAACGTATGGAATGGGAGCCTCAGTTCCATCTCTCGTCTGCTAGTTCATTCAGGAGCGCAGCAGCGCTTCGGCATGACGATACAAGTCGAATCAAAACAACTCTACTCTCTAGCCAAAAAAACTAGCTCAGTGTTCGTCAGGCAAAAAGCGAAACTTCGAAAGTCACGAACTCAAAAGGTGGGCCCATGGGGAAGTCAGAGTCAGAAGGTCCACTTGCCCCGTCTCGAACCCAGACAATCTTTGTGCAAGTCATCTATTCAAGTACCTCGGTTCTGTAGTGGACAGCGGTTGCCGTTCGTCCCGGGACATCGCCGCAAGGATTGCCCAAGCCTCCGGGGCCTGCGGTGCTCTTCGGAAGTCTGTATTCTCCAATCCACATCTGCTGATGCACACCAAGCGGTATTCAATGCTTGCGTTCTGTCCCTGCTGTTGTATGGCTCTGAGTGCTGGACGCCCCTTCAACATGACCTGCAGAAGCTCTCAACCTTCAGCATGAGGTGCACCCTATCCATCCTCAGGGTCTCTCGAAGACGGATGTGGGATGGACACATCACCAATGAAGAGCTGCTGCAGCGCTGGTGCACTGGGGAGACTCTGAGACGATTAAGGACAAGATTGCACATCGGCGGTTGGAGTAGTTGGGGCATGCATCGCTGTTCAAGGTTGGCGCATAGACACTGGCAACAGCAGAGGAGGAGCGCTCAACCTTCCAGCACGTGTGCATATGCGGCAAGCGGATGCGACTACCCGTGCACCTGGGGCATCATCGGGCGTTGTGCCCTCTCTCTCTCTCTCTCTCTTCTCAAGTTTCCCAGTGATGGGATCACGTGACCCTTTTGCTGCAGTTACTCTACAGGATCTAGGACAGGACAGGTGTGTGTGTGTGGGGGGGGGGGGGGGGGAGACCTTGGCAGTGTGCTCTCCTCGGATGGTCTTGCCTGTGCTGATGTCCGCTCTCGCCTTGCGAAAGCCTCAGCTGTGTTCGGAGCCCTCAAAGCTCCTGTCTTTGATAACAAGACACTGTCGCTTCGCAACAAGAGGCGTGTCTATGAGGCTGTCGTCCTCACGACCCTCTTGTATGGTGCGGAGACGTGGACCACCAAGGCAGGCCACCTCCAGAAGCTAAACACGTTTCACCATCAGTGTGTTCGGTCCATCGTGGGTATCGGCCGTCGTCAACAGTGGGATGATCGGATCTCAACGGCCACATTAGCGGCTACATTCGGTGTTGACCCTGACATCACCAGCATCATCCGTCGCCATCGGCTTAGTTGGCTGGGTCACGTCGGCAGGATGGACGACTCGAGCGCACCGAAGCAATTGCTGTTCGGCGAGCTGCCTGCCCCCCGTCCTCGTCACGGCCCGAAGAAGAGGTGGCGAGATGTGGTGTCGACTGACCTGGCGGACCTCGGCGTGACCACCTGGCTTGAGAGTTGCCAAGATCGTCCCGGCTGGAGACGAGTTGCGAGTAGCACTCCACCGCCACGGCCCGCTCCTGATCCTCTTCTATGTGTCTGTGGACGCCCGTTTCGTCGACCAGGAGACCTGAAACGACATGCCAAGTTCTGCGCTCGTGTCCTCACTTGAACTTTCCGACATTCGCTATCATTGCGTACGCAATGGGCAAGATCAAGGTCAAGGTCAAGGTGTGTGTGAGAGAGTGGATGGGTGCGTTTGCGTATGTATGCATGCGTATTCGTATTCATGCCTGGACGTGTGCTGTCAATGTATATTGTGTGCCTGCACCTCAACTAACTTTTACTTACACCGTGATCATGGTGATATTTCCGCGGCGCGCTCCGAGTGCTACTGCTCATTTCTTTCTACATGTATGTTCCTATTTTTCTGCCAGTTGACGCTCATGAGCAGTGATCACGGACGGTGATGATACCGAGACCTTTTTGGTCGGTTTAGCTGCTCTTGCCCCACCTCCACTGCTTCGACTGCATGCAGTCGATATGTATGTGCGTTTTTTGCATATGGGAGTAGTAAAATGCCGGTATTTTATTACTCCCTGTCAGTGACGTCACGTATTTTGGATGGTTGGCATGATGACATCACGGTCTCGTCATCATCATAGGATCGAGCTGGCATAGCTTGTACAGTATTTTCGGTTTGCCTTTCACACAAGCAGTTTCAGAAGGCGACGAAAGTTACGCAAGGTCTCCTAGCTGGATGACTTATTGCTGTGGTTGTTGTACACCCACGAGTGTTCCTCCATCCATCAGTAGATCTACAAGTACCAAGGATCGTCGCTGCTTGACGTGACCCTCCCTACTCGTACTCCGCATGCATTTTCACTGTTTTTGCCCATCTTTTTTTAGCAGTTTTGTTGTCTCTTTCAGTCATTGTTCGCACCAGTGAGCCAAGTAATCTAACAGTAGTGCAGTGGAATGATTCTTCGTGCTAGGAAACGCCAGAACTCAGTCGCTGCAAGCACAAGCATCAGTTTAGTTGAAGGTTGACTATCCTCAATATTTCGAAATGGCTGGACTAACTGAGGCTCACAAGGAACTCAAAAATCCTATTCCAGTGGGAGATTACTACGCTGTGTCTTTCCTCACCAGAGGCAGCTTTGGGCAGGTTTACCAAGGCCATCACAAAGACGTAAGTACACGCCATTGCTTTTTTTAGTCTTAACTAGTATCTGGACAAGGGAGTCGTCTGATACTAGGCCGCCTGCGTTTTGGGCTGTATGTGGCGTTTGAAACTCGAGGCCAGTATTTAGGAGCCAACTGTTCTTCCTTATCGTTATACCAAGAGTGTATAAACAGTGTTTATGCACTCTTGATTATACTCGTTGTTTTGTAATTGCAGTGGAATGATTTGTGCAGCACGGAGGGAATGCTTTGTATTGCTTTCATTTCCAAAACCTAGCTACTAGGACAGTGGAGATGTTGTTGGTCGTACTTGTGCGTGTTTCTAGCTAGTTGTCTAGCTCTGGTGTTATCATGATTGTTACTTTTCGTATGTTGTACGTGTGCCTTTGTGAAGTGGCTGCATACACTCATGCGTGTACGTGTTGTACAGTCACCAGTTGGACCTCACACATTTGTTAGAGTTGTCACAATGTTACTGGCTGGGTGTACTTGTAGTGAGTGATAGTGGCTGCTGCTAACGACCGTTTTATAACAGGCGCGTGCGCCGGCGCCCTTCAAGGGGGGGGGGGGGGGCGGGGGCCTCCGCGGGTGGAAAATTTTCAAAAAATGAAGCAAAATCCTGCATTTTGAGCTAAAAAAGGGGGTTCCGGGCACCCAGGAACCCATATGGGGCACGCGCCTGTATAATGTCTGTTGTGACTGAGATGTGGCTGTATGGCTCTTTGGGGCTCTTACACCGCATGCTGGAGTTCTATTGATTGATTTTATTTGAGGATTGACCAAAGGCTGCGACAGCCTATAGATACGTGTATTTAAGCCCAGTTTTTTCTGTGATTCCTCCCCTGAACCTGCTCGGATCACGCCGTAACTGAGCTCGCACAGAGTAAGCAGTGAGTGAGCATGTACTGCACAAGCATGTCTGCTATCACTGAGTAGCGTGACCTGGGGGTTGCACACTCGTCCCTCGTTTATCTGGGCGGTCCAGGACCGGGCACTGCCCGCTACTTTGAAATGTCCGTAACTCCGAGTCTCAAACATTTTGACGGAAAAAGACCATAGATATGCCATGTAATGTCACTGTATGCACAAAAAGTGACAAAAGAGTAGTAACATTTCCACTGAAACTCGCCCAAAGGATGTCCGGTAGACCGAAGTGCCTGTATCTTCGGGGTCCGGATATCCGAGGTATGAGTGTACATTGAAGCGGTTCACTTGTCGCTGGAACCCTGGTACAATTCTCTCTCTTGACTGGCTCGCCAGTTTTCTAGCATCCTGTGTTCATTGGCTATTAGAAACGCTACCCAATGAAGGAGTAAGAATATTATTCAGGACGCTCTGTGTGTACAATCTGTTAGTTTCACGTTTGAACATCTCATGTTTTTCAGAATCCCAACCAGCTGATAGCCATCAAAAGCATAAACTTGAACGAAAAATCACCGGATCCTGCAACCCGTGCTAAGCTAGAGTCTACTGTTACGTCAGAGATTGGGATAATGCGGGTGAGTGCCGGTATGTGTGTGTGTGTGTGTGTGTGTTTTGTGTGTCCCTGTGTATGTCTGTGTCCATGTGTGTGTGTGTATGTCTGTGTGTATTCCTAGGGGCTCCCGTAAGAAGACCATAGGTCTGTGGGAAACACCCTAGGAAAATAAAAGTTAATAATATCTGTCAGCGAGTGTGTTGTCTGTGCAGGTGTGGATATGCTGGTGTGAAGACGTGCACGCATGTTCACATGCCAATCTTGTGTCTTGTCACTGCGTGTCATTGACTAGTCTGTGACTTTGAGAGGAGCCATGCATGATCCCTTTTTTATTCTGCTCTTGAGCAACACCGGCAATGAAAGTACTTTACTCTTTCAATGGCATCAGCTAATAACGTAGTGTCTTGTATTAAAGCCTGCCTCATATAGAAGCCTGTCTCACATAGAAGCCTGTTTTGAATAGAAGCCTGTTTTAAATAGAAGCCTGTTTTGAATAGAAGCCTGTTTTGAATAGAAGCCTGATTTTCAAGATACACTGTCGGCACATACCGTATTTTCTCTGATAAGAGCCTGTGGCTCTTATCATTTCAGTGATGGCTCTACCTGCGCTACTATTAGAGACTATGCTATTTTTGGGGACGGTGCTGTGTTTTTCAATGCTCCGTTATCAAGCCAGCTACAGTCTATATAGGCATAAACTGACCATATCAAGACTTATTTTCGCAACCCTAAACTCAGGACTATTGTCGAAATAGCACGGGTGCCGGGAAGGAAGTAGTAGACCGAAAACCTCCTTACAAATATGTGTTTGGCATGCTGTACTGGGGCATGATCGATTGGGCGAATCCCGAGCAAGTGTGCTCAGAGTGAGCGTGATCGTTTGGTCGAATCCGATCGAATCCGGAGTAGGTGTACTTGGAGTGGAATCCGACCACACCGGGAGTGGCTGGAGTGGAAATGGACTTTGCCGTTTTTGGACAGCTTTCACAGAATCTTTGTACGATATGCATGTATTTTGCGTACTACACCCTTGTTTTGTTCGATTGGGCCAGCGTTGCTCGGACCACACCGCCTGCTCGCACTCAATCCAGATTCGCCAATCGATGACACCCCTGGTGTTTTATATGCAATCAGTATACTTTTTGCATACTCCAATTGTGGCCCGTGCTACTTTTAGAGACTGTGCTCTTATTATAAAACCCTCACCCAGGGTCATTTTGGAGACTGGGCTATTATTGGAGACTTGGGCTTTTATTAGAGAAAATACGGTAAGCCTTGTTTTAGTGTTGACATACGTAGAAATATCTCTCTTGACTTGTATAGAAGCCTGTCTTATGTAGAAGCCTGCAAAAGTTCCCCCAAAAAGTCATATAAGCCGCGACTTTTATACACGACTTTACGATATGCTAGCCATGGACTTTCTGTGTGTCCACCAATGGTCTACTCCGCTAATATGAATCTTTGTTGTTGTTTCGAATCTTTATTCTCATGGTGTTGTTGTTGTTCTGTACAGCGACTTGAGCATAAGAACATTGTCAATATGATTGACGTAATCGTAAGTACGGCATTGCTGTGTAAACAGCTGCCTGTTTTGCCCGCTAGCTGCATTAGCATGCAACGCGCTACTACTGTTTTAAAGTCATTTGGGTCACTCTGTGTTTGTGGAGTCTGTGACATGGAGAAGTAGAAGATAGAAGGCAGTTTGGAGGCCAGCACTCTATTTGGCTGACTACCAGCTGTAGTCAAGATAAGAACGGTTGACGCCTGCGGTGCTCACGTCAGCGCAGTCTGTCACTAGCGTGGCGGCGAGCCCTTAGGACGTATGCCGCCGATCGTTGCTTCTTGTTGCGGCGACGGCGACGTATCAGCACCCGGGCGTCCTCCGGCAGCGTTAGAGAGTGTAACTTATAGGTCGGGCAGGTTGTTGGGGATGTGGTGGTGGTGATGACTGGGGTGCGGAAACTGGTGGACCTGGACGGTGGGGGCACTGCACACCGCACAGACCAGAGATGGGAAAACCAGCAAAAACAAACGAGCACCAAAGGAGCCACACCAATGTACGCAGGCTGGACTCGAGCAGCCAGGGCGAACACTCGGCAGGAGATGAATACCCGAGGGAAAGGAGTTGCATGTCTGTGTGTGTGGGGGGGGGGGGGGGGGGACCTTGTGCACATTGTGTGCTTACATGCATGTGTGTGCTGTTTCATCTTTATCTAGTATGACGAGAAGGACCCTCACAGCATCTTCACCCTCATCCTTGAGGTAAGTACGCGCTACACGTAGTTCAGAGTTGTCCTAGGTCCACCACCTCATTTACCATCATTCTATGTGCTGTTACCAGTACAGCATTTTCCGGAGTGTGAGCCGCGCTTTAAACAGTCGTAAGTCACCCGAGAAAAGTCGGTGCGGCATACTACCATGGTCAAATGAATCATGATATACAGGGACGAGGGTTGATGTCTGTATTTTGTGACAACAAATCTGAGTGCGGTTTATACTCTGGTATATACTCTATGTGCTATTTGTCTACATGGCACTAGTTTTAACTTTTTTCCGTATGGGGATATTTATGTTTGAATAAGGTTTAACTTCATTCTGCGCGTAGCTACTCCAAGAACTCACACACTCCACCCCAGCCACGTACACATTATTCATCACTCCGTCTGAGCTAATTTTACCGCTCCCCTCATCTCTTCCTCTGTTGGGCTTGTGTAGCGTGACTGGTATTGTTTATTACTGAGGGAGTGAGAGAGTGGGTATGTATGTGGCCAGTGCTAACGTGCAGATAAACTGTTGGTTGCCTTTGATTGCCGTTGGTTGGCTTCAACTCAAACATCTTGTCAAGCTCATTCCTGGTCTGAACAGTACAATGCCATTGTGTACATGCGTACGTCGATGACAGTTTGTTAGTTTGTATCCTGCATGCGAGTACTACCCTGCTGCCAGGATATCCTTTGGGTGGTTTATTAGAGTGACCGCTGGTAAAGCCATGAGAAATTTGTGATCTCCTCTTCGATGTTTGCTGTAATGACGCTGTCAAGTTACTAGCAGCCTGTCTCTTTTGTGTGGAGTGGCTACAGTAGTGCCAAAGCATACATAGACCTTTCTCACAAAGTGCACGTGCCGTGACGCCGTGGGCATAAGGCAAAAAGTTCAAAAGATGCACTGCGTTCTGTACTGAAAACTATTAAAATTTAGTTGTTATTATACTTCGAGAAGTAGGACACACTTCAGCCTCTTGAACATTTTGAAAATTTTCACTAGTATACTTTCATGCCTTATCATCAGGTGATAAGGCATCACCTCTCTGCTCTGTTTAATCCATTGTCCATGTTCATTTGATTTTGCCTGTATTTCACCTGATGATCAGGCATGAAAGTATACTAGTGAAAACTTTCAAAATGTTCAAGAGCCTGAAGTGTGTCCTCTTCTCCTAACTGTTCTAAGTATAATTGCATTTTTGTCTCCAAGGAAATTTAGTTGTTTGTGGACATTGTATTCTTTTCTCTCATCGTTTTGAAGGCTGTGTAGCTGTTTGGAATTATTTCCTCGGTGTTACCAACCATGCCGTCAATGATACCGGTGATAACATTGCAGCAGCTGTTGGTAATGGAGTGCATGCATCAGGAGAAATGCCTGCACCTTCAGCAGAAGACTTGTGGTGTTCAGTGAACAGCTTCCTGGAGTGGATCTCTGGTATCGCATGGCTGATGTAGAAAGCTTTCAACTTCGGTAGCGAAGTATCATTCCACAGTACACTGTCACGAAATAGCCTCTCAATGTGAAGATTGGTGGAGTGTAATACCAGATGGCGTGTGCCATACGGCAATATTGGCCTCAAAACCAAAATTCACTATTTATTTATTTATTTATTTATTCAACATCTCCTGGCCCGTCCGAAGACTGCCAATAAACATGAGAGGTCAGGTGATAGCCAACCACGGCAAGCTAAAAGGGAAAAAAAAAAGAAAGATGCTGTCAGAGAGGGAAAGGAGATAGGGAGAGAAAAAGAAAGGGAGGCACATTAATAATACATGGGATCACTTCGGATGAGACAGTGTGGAAAGCTGGACTGTGAATTTCCTGATATCCTGGCATGTCTTAATGCTAGTAGGCAGGTTAGACCAAAGGGAGTATGCTGAGAAGAAAGGGGATTTCAAAAACAGAGAGGAACTAGCTCGGGGCAGTGATAAGGCATTGCGTGTTGGTCTAGTGGTAACAAACCAGTTGTACTTGGCAATATGTTTCGGGACTTGGGCTAGGAAGATTTTTTGCACAAGGATACAAAGATGCTGCTGATGTCGGGCAAGAAGAGGGTGCGTGGAAGCAAGTTTATAAAGACAAAGGGAGGCAAATGTTTGGTCTTTTCGAAACAGAATTTTCAGAAGCAAGCGTTGATGTACCTCCAGTCTGTGGAGTAAAGTCTGAGACAACCCGCACCAAGCTATATCGCAATAGTCAAATATAGGCAAAATGTACGACTTAAAGAACAATTCTCTGCAGTTATCATTCAAGTGTTGGCAGTGGGGTTGTAGCATACCTAAGGACGCACTCGCACGCTTGCACACAGACTGGACTTGTGGAGACCAGGAGAGTTGGCGGTCGAGAATAACGCCCAGGTGCTTGTGCTCGTTAACAACTTTAATAGGTGTACTATTTAGACCAGGAAAATACAGAAGTTGAGTGGGGGGCGAGGGAGAGAAGAACATGGCCTCGGTTTTGGCGAGGTTAGGCTTCAGTTTCCAGGTTTCCATCCATGTTACTGTAGCGTTGACCCCGGACTGCATGGAGGCCGTGAGGTTGTCTGCCGAGCTGTCGGAGCACATCAGAGCAGTGTCGTCAGCAAAAAGACTTACATTTGGTACAAGGGCTGGCAAGTCATTAACGTACAGTAGAAATAGGAGCGGCCCAAGTATGGACCCCTGGGGTACCCCAGACACGACTAGTAATGGGTCTGATAGGGAGGTAGATACTCTGACAGTCTGGTGGCGGCAGGAAAGATAGGATGAGAGCCATTGCAGGGCTGGACCGTGTACCAAGAAGACGGACTCTAGCTTTGCAAGCAGACCACGATGCCAGACGGTGTCGAAAGCTTTCGCTAGGTCAAAGAACACGATGCCAACATGCCGCCTGAGGTTCCGCTGGGTGTAGATGTCTTGTACTAGACGTGTTAGTTGGAAAGTTGTGGAGTCTCCACGGCAGAAACCGGATTGAGATGGTGAAAGCGCTGGGGTGACGTGGCAGTACAGAGACTCAAAGAAAATACGTTCACAGACCTTGGACACAGCGGGAAGGAGAGAGATTGGTCTGTAGTTGCCAGCCTGAGAGCGTTGGCCTTTCTTATAGATCGGGACGATAACAGCAGATTTCCAGACGGACGGAAATACTCCTGTACGATATGACATGTTAAAGAGCAGGCACAAGGGATAGGACAGAGATGGCGCAAGCCATTTGAGAACCTCATTGGGTATGCCATCTTCGCCAGGGGACTTACAATTCTTCAGGAGTTTGAGGTGCTTACAGACGGTAGCAGTCGTGGTAACGACGCGTGTGAGTGGTGCGCTAAGTTCAGGGGCTGGGGACAGCGATGGAATGACCCAATTCGGATCTTCCGGAATGCCGGATGAAACAAACTGCTTGTTCAGTGTGTCTGCAATCGCCTTCACATCGTGCTGGCGGTTGCCATTGGAGTCCGTCAGGTACTGGATTGGCGCGCGGGAGGTCCCGCGGCACTGGTTGCGAATGAATTGGTGGAGTGATGGGCGATCGGGGGAGGAGAGTGTTGCAGAAAGAGAGTTTAGAAAGGAGCGGTGTGAGGTACGAGAAAGGTGCTTGACGAAGTTGCGTTGAACTCGGTAAGCCTCCCGGTTAACCGGCGTTGGGAATTTCTTGTAGATGCTGAAAAGATCACGCTTGCGCTTCACTTCAGATACGAGGGACCGTGTCACCCATGGGGGACTAGATGTCGAGGATGTTGGGTTGGAATGTTTCCGGTTGTTGTAGCCGATAGCAAAGTTAGAGAGGTGCTGTTGGAACCCTCGTTCAAGGACGGCTGCAAAGTGATCTACCGCGGCGTCAACAGTTGGAGAGCCTTCTGGTTGCAGAAACGACCAGTCGTGGCAGGAGAAATCAGCGTTCAGAGAGTCCCAGCACTGAGAGGGAACTCGACGGAAGCGATATGGGAACGGTTTGCGAGAAGGAAGTGGCAGGTCTGGATCCGAGGGCAATGAGACGGCGAACTGGCATGAAACCATGAGATGGTCCGAGGAGCCAAGAGCGCAAGCTGTGTGAACGTCCGTCGCCAGCAGGGGTTGGTTCGTGAAGACAAGGTCTAGACATGACTGTGTTCCGGAAGATGTTGTGTGCGTTGGACTCTGCACCAGCTGATCCAAACCGAAGCAGGTAAGGGTGCGAAAAAGTGCCGCCCCAGCAGGACACGTTAAATCCGATGCGCACCACCGTTTGTGCTTACTGTTGAAGTCCCCAGCCATTATGACATGGTACGATGACATGGGAACGGTTACCAAAGCACTAGCTAGCATATCACAGAAGTGGTCTATTTCCGTGGTTTTGACTGAGGGCGGACGGTAGGTACAGCAGACGAGGATGGGTGTCGGGGAGCCTGAGATTGGGTGAAGCTCAACCCATACGGATTCACAGGTCGGACGAGCAAGGTCGTCGCGAACTTGGACTCTTCCGAAGCGATTTTGCCGGACAAGAATCGCAACTCCACCATATCCTCTGGTTGCCGTACCGGATTTGTTATCATGAGGTGGTCGGTCGCGACGAAATGTGGTATAACCGGAGATGGTGAGCGCTATGCTTGGATCTACTACTAGTCGCAAGTAGTCGTCCTCCACAGCCTTCACTTCATGCAGTATTCCCCATTGCACAGCCGTTGTCTTGTATACCCCATTGCATAGCCGTTATCTTTGGCATCTTGGAGTAACCCACGATAGTCTTCACCAAGCTGGCCGGTGATGTAGTCTCCCTACGGTTTACGACGACATGGAAAATAGATGATGTGATGCGGCCAACCCGAATATGACGCCAAAGTGGCGATCTTGACTGCTGCTTCGTGACACTGTCGATATATGATGCCAGACTGCTTGTCAATGGAGCTATCATTAGCAAGATGAGTGTACATCGCCATAGCAACATCCTCATCCAGGTCATCACTGAACTGATCATTACTAGGGCGTTGTGAAATAATCAACTGCTTAGCCTGCTTGTCCAAAGTGCGCATAGCATCCTTCTTGGCCAAAGATGGGTGGTTCCAGAATCGGAAAAAGTCAGATGTTGGTAGCTTTGATGCAAATGTATCCAGTAACTCTTGGACACAATGGCCGTCCACAGCAAGGTCTTGAGCAGCTCTCGGTTCAAATGTGGACAGAGAACCTCCACAGACCTTGCGGGATTCCTTGCCATAGGCAGTGGCCTCAAACACAGCGTCAGCCAACGGGACAGCAGGTACAGATAGCTGGGATGGAGGACGATGCCACGACATCAAGCGTCCAGTGCATGTTGTGTCTGCCTGTATCGTTGTGGTGCCTTTCTCCTTACAGTCAAGGAGGTAGAACAGGAGCGTGGCGACATGACTGCAGCTCTCACCCAGCACATTTAAGTTGCATCTGGCACTATACACAGCCCCTTGAGGCGACATAGTAATAAAAACTGGGTAGGCCGATTTCTCCCGTGACGGATAGGACTGGTGCACATGCCCTCTAGCATAGATGTACTGGGGCTTCACGGGATCAGGGCAGCACATCCACACATTCAAAACACATCCACTGGTGGAATAGCTATAGCCTTTCAGTGACTTGAAGTTGCTGCGCTGACGGTCAGAGGAGGATTTATCCCTCACTTCCACGATTTGCGTGCCTGTCCTTGTAACTAAAATCATCAATAAGGAAATCGTGTACCCAACACGAGACAGAATCATTATGTTGGCAAGGCTTCCAATTCTGCCGTGATCTCGACTGTTTTCACTGACACTTCTGGCACAATATGTGGCGCTGAGGCTACAGAAGACGTCTCAGCAAGTCCAACAAGGGTCTCCACCGACTCAGTCTTCCTCGTTTTGCTGTTGACAATTTTGAAATGTCTGCACAGCTCCTTCAGCACAGGTACGTTTGCTGACTCCAAGCGTTTCCTCAACTTTTCGGTATCACGGACACCTCGTTGAGACTGCACTGCCTCGACAAGCTCCTCGAGGGATGCCATGTCGGGGAGAGAAAGGAAATGTCAACGACAACAATTGTTCTCAATTCAAAATGATCTACATGTAGCACAAGAAAACCCCGAGTCTGTTGCCTTACGCTGCGCCGTGGTCGTCAGGTCACGTGACCTTTGTGAAGTGGTCTATGCTACAATGTCAGTTTTGGCGTTGGAACTGCTGCTGCTGGACCATACTGTGCTGCATGTGCCTGCATACTGCAGTGACTGTAGCGTATCCAACGTCCCTGCCAGTCCACTTATTCTATGTATGTGTGTGCTGTGTGTGTGTGTGTGTGTGTGTGTGTGTGTGTGTGTGTGTGTGTCTGTGTGTGTGTGTGTGTGCGTGCATGCGTGTGCATGTGTATTTGTGTGTACATGCCTGTGTGCACATTTATTCGGTGCAGTATTGTAACGGCAAGACGCTAGGAGAGTACAGAGTGCAACGTAAGAGTGATTTGTTCCTTGAGCATTCTATGTCTGACTCAGTTAGTGACCATGTCGCTGACTTCCTGACCCTTAGACGTAGACCTGGGCGAAATGGAGAAGACGATTGCTGCGCATACAGAGATACTGTAAGACCAGATATTTTAACGTCAATTTAAGTTAACGATCTCCGGATTTTTGTGGGTTAGCGAGGTGAAATTCTAACGAATTCCGTGTCAAAACCAGCAACTGACTGTACATGTACGTATCGTTTTGCAAATGACGACTTCAAATGTTAACGAATTGCTTAAATTCGTTAAATCGTTAGAATTAAATGTTCGTTAACATTACTGGTCTTACTGTAGAGCGGGTGGCACGGAATTGCGTGCATGTTCGGCTGAGGTATACTGCTGTACACCACCTCTTCTCACTTCCCTTCCACGTTCTCGTTCTCCTTGAATTAATCTGCCCCTCGTGCCTTTGCTCTTGTCTATTTTGCTGGTTTTTTCTTACTGAGCATCTGCATGAGACTCTGTGAATATCTGGCCTGGGTCCTTGTTTGGAGCGTGTGTTTACCTCCAGCTGCCAGTCATTCTTGGTTTGCATTTGTTTGTTGTTGTTGCTGTGCAGAGCGCACACTGAAGGAGCAGACAATCAGCTTCTTCTTTAGCCAGCTCAGTAAGTAGGGCACATTGTACCAATCTCGGTGTGGTGCACAAGCTACATTCTTTCCTTGCCTTTCTGCTCATTTCCCTCTGATAAGGGAACCACTCTCAAGGTTCATCTTGTACATGTATCGGCACATGTTAACTTGTGCTGTTTTCTTCTTTTGGCTAGGTGGTGCCCTGCAGTATCTGCACCACAAGGATATTATTCACCGCGATCTAAAGCCGGCCAATGTCCTACTTCACGTGCCAAGCGGCGCGGCCATTCACTCAGCCCCACCCACGTCCATTGTGGTCAAGCTGGGTAGGTTTTCTTGTTTTGTTGTACCGTACGCCTTGCCCTCATCGTAACTGTCGTTGTGTAGTCTCAACACATGTTTTGTGTACTTGCATGCAGCAATTCAACCCTCTTCTTGTTTCCAGTCAAATTTCCAATGGCAGGTTTCCGCTGATCACCGTTTCTTGAAACATGTTCGCACTCGCATACTGTAGTGTAAGCAACTAGCCAAGTCGTCCCAGAATCGCTCTGTGTAGAAGAGCCGTGTCTTGTGAGCACTATTCCGGCTGCACTCTGGCCAAGCATGCCTTGTAAGATCTTGTATGCCTGGTCAAGCATGGCGTCATGACAGGTGCACTGCTTCGATATTGTTGCCGAGTCTTCTGAGCTGCTAGTGTCTTCCTTCATCAGATAGACATCAAACTGAAGTGGTATCTATTATGCTGGAGGCACGGACTGTCTTCTTAAGTTGCTCCTATCTCACTTGACTTGACTTGACTTGTACTGCTTTTTGTTTGTTTGGATTTTTCCAGCTGACTTTGGCTTCGCTCGTATTGTGGCGGCGGACGAGCTGGCCAAGACGAACTGCGGCACACCGCTGTACATGGTACGGAACTCTAACTGTGCTAGTCACCCTTTTCACCGCCAGCTCATAACTGCGTACGAGTGGGCAATGGGCATGCATAGTCTGTATCACTGACGGCCTCACGATGTGTGTTGTGCTGGGTGGTGACAGCCTGTCCCTTGTCCAGTGCCCCACATTGCACACCTCACCATGGCTGTGTTGTGTATTATTGTCCCTGGTTTGAATCCTGATGGGGGCAGTCGATTTTTTTCTCCTGACTCCCAGTTTCAACTCCCTCAAACATATGAGTATCATTGTACGGCTAGCTACAGCCATCCCTCTTTGATCTTATCTTCTGTAAAAGCATTGTGCATTGCTTGTTATTCTGATTCTCCAACAAGCTAGTTTACTATTTTCATTCAGCTATGTTGCCATGAGCATGTTCACAAGTTCTCTCTCTCACTTTCACACACACACACACACACACACACACACACACACACACACACACACACTACTACTACTACTAGCAGCATGACTGCCCAGAGGGGCAAGTGTCACCCCTATGGAAAGGGGACCAGAAAACGGGACACGGATCACAAGCAGGACCGCGAATGTCTGGCTAGGTCCTGCTGCCGGCGGAAATTGCGTTTACAACGTGGGCAGCTGAGGGGCAGAGCTGCTCTCTCAGCAGCAGATGGTCTCGCACCACGATTGCAGTTGTGACGCTTGAACCCGGCCGCAGAACGGAAGCATCGCTGACATGTTGGGCAGTGCTGCTGGCAACAAGCTGAAAGTGGCACAGACAGACTGACTGTTGGTGTAGGAGAACTCGTGACAGGCTGGCATCGATGAACAGAGTAGCCACCCTCGCTGCGGAACCACCTCTGGCAGTTCTGGCATTGCACTGATCCACGCTGGAGATGGATGGGAAGCCGTCTCTGAGTGGTGCACTTGTGTCGCGTTCTATCTGAGACCCGTGAGAAGTTCCGGTCACACACTGCGCAATGCACAGACTTGGGCATGGTGGAGCTCGACTGAGGGGCAACCCGTACTTCCCTCCACTGTTGGCGGTCCTGAGCAAGGATGAACCACTGAGATGGCTGTTGCAGTGCAACCTTGAGGTCGGTCATCACCGTGTCTTTCCACCGTCGCCGGGGACCACAAAACGGCCGAGGCACAGGTAGCCACCCAAAGAGGAGTTGGAGGGGGGTGCGATCCTCATCCATACGCGCAACGTGCCCAGTCCATTCCAGACGCCGATTGCGGAGGCGTGTAGACATCAGTACTGGGTCTCCCCAACGGTTCCGCAGGTCTGTGGATGACAGCCGCTCGGACCACTGACGAGGCTTGGTGATGCTGAGGACAGTCCGGATGCATTGATGGTGGAATTTATCCAAACTTCTGATTTCCTGTTGGAGTGGGGTCCAACACTCTCCGCCATACAGTAATATTGAGGAAACGCAGGCCATGTACAGGTGGCGTTTACTAGAGAGGGACAGAGATCTGTCAGTGAATACCTTCTGGAGGGCTCCGAAGGCCTTTGAGGCTTCGGCAATACGGCGCTTGATGTCGGATGAAGAACGACTGTCAGGGGTCACTATGGATCCTAGGTAGGTGAACTTCGGCACGGCTTCGATAGTGCCAAGGGGGAGAACGATGTCAGCCGAGTCTTCAGCAGAGACCCCATGGCCCGCCGTCATGATCTTCGTCTTGGCGATGCTCACAGTTAGTCCAAATTCTCGGGCAACACTACAGAAGAGCTCCACACCAAACTCAGCATCACTACGGCATTCAGACACGAGAACGGCATCATCAGCATACTCCAGGTCACTAACAGACAGTGACTCGCCAGCCCTGCGCGATGATGAGCGGGGGTAGAGTTGGCCATCGATGGAAAACTGGATGCTGACAGAGTGACTACGACCTGCATCCTTTAGCCGGGCACGCCATGTCTCAACAACCGCCCCGAAGTACAGGTTAAAGAGAATGGGTGCCATGACACATCCTTGTCGGAGACCATTAACCACAGGGAACTCATCAGAGGTGGAGTTGCCAACTCGGACCGAGGCAGAGGTAGATGTGTGGAAAGCCTTAATCAGGGCCACTAGCTGTTGCGGGACCCCAAGTCGGCCCAAGGCCACCCAGAGAGCAGCGCGTGGTACAGAATCGTACGCCTTTTTCAAATCCACAAACACACAGAAGAGCTGCTGACGATGTTCGTATGCTTTCTCGATTAGCTGGCGGAGCGAGAAGATGGCATCAACACAGCCCCTGCCTGGCCGAAAGCCGCTCTGGGACTCTGGGAGTTCCGACTCAGCCACACACACACACACACACACACACACACACACACACACACTACTACTACTACTACTATTGACAGCTGCCAGAAATGGCCACGCCGCTCCCCAAAGGGAGGTACTGTCAGAGAGGTTAGGGGGGAGGAAGGCAATGCTCCAAGTGGCGTTCCAGATCTTGCCGCCTCCGGAACCGTCGGTTGTGGCAAACTTGGCAGTGAAACTTGAATTGTTGGCGTTCACACACACACACACACACACACACACACACACACACACACACACACACACACACACACACACACACACACACACACACTCTCTCTCTCTCTCTCTCTCTCTCTCTCTCTCTCTCTCTCTCTTTTCTCATTCTACATTCTTTTGTTGTTGTTCCCGCCCTGTATTGTAGGCACCAGAAATTCTCCTGGGGGAGCAGTACGATGGCCGCTGTGATATATGGAGCATGGGCGTGATGATTTATGAATGCTTTTGCGGAAGCATGCCATTCATTGTAAGGTTAAAGAAGAGTGTTCCTTTTGTCGACCTCTGTCGTGTAGGGATATTCATTTTTGTGACACAGCTGACTTTTGTGTACTTGTATTTGTGTCTTTGAGTCTGTTTTGGTCGTTGCAAGACTTGTGTGCCTTTGTTGATGCTGTATTTTGTACTGCTCCTTGTGAGTATTGTCCTCCCTTGCTGTTGTTGTTGTTGTTGTTGTTGTTGTTGATGTTGTTGTTGTTGTTGTTGTTGTTGTTGTTGTTGTTGTTGTTGTTGTTGTTGTTGTTGTTGTTGTTGTTGTTGTTGTTGTTGTTGTTGTTGTTGTTGTTGTTGTTGTTGTTGTTGATGTTGTTGTTGTTGTTGTCGTTGTTGTCGTTGTTGTTGCTGCTGTTGACTGGTTCAGGCGCACAGTATTGAGCAGCTGAGACAGAAGTACCGCAAAGGAGCTCACAATCCACGGTGAGTAGTAGTCGGTAGTATATTAATTATTCTTATCTTTTTACATCTTTCCCTCGAGTGGGTCTATTGTTATTAGGCAATTGTCTGTTATAGTCACCACTATAAATATAATCCAATCCATCCATCCATAGTTCTTTTCCACCGCTATCATCGTGTGATTTGAAGACCTCAGCCAGCCCTGTTGTCTTTGAATCAGTTTAGGATACTCAACACCTGATCTCGTGCAGCTATCTGGCCTTTCATCGATTCTACAAGACTGAACAAATAATTAATTCTGACTAGACTTCGCTTTCCATGGTCATGGTAAAGTTATTTTTTCAGAAAGGAATTTTGCAATTCGGCAGGGTGTACCCGGTCTGTGTACAAGTTGTGCACACATTGCACTGCGTGACACCATTGTATTATTGTTGTGTTAATGTGCAGGATCCCGAAGGAGATGTCAGGTGCTCTCTCAGATCTTGTCACTGCAAGTCTGTGTGCAAGTCATCAGCGCATTTCCTTCTGTGAGTGCAGCGTGCATAGTGTGTGTTTTCCAGCTTAACCCTGGCATTCATGTGATGTTGACCTGCCAGCGTGGCAATGCTGCCGCACTACGTGACATTGTAATCACAAGCTATGCTGCTAAACCCTTGCAAATTGTGCTCAATGCCACAGGGGCAGAGCCGAAAACACAAGTCGGCAATGGAACGAGGCTGAATTAAGCTGTAACTCGGAGTTTCATGGTTATCCGCCAATCCTCAGACCACAATGATGATGTGACATTAGAGAGGTTCTGCACAACGAAAATTCGAACGAAGCTTCGCGACAGGCCTTGCGAAAATGTGCACGAATTTTCGCACGAACTTTGTGTTCTGCACATTTTCGTAGTTTGCACCCGCCAAGTGCACGTACGACATGACCCAATCTCACGAAACTTCCTACGAAAGTTCATTTCGCGTTCCCTGCAAGTTTCGCGTCCAAAGTTGCGAAAGTTCGTGCAAAGTTGCGAAAGTTCGTGACGTGGAGCGAAAGTTCGTACACATTTTCGTTTTGCAGAACCTCTCTAATATACTAGTATTAATGTTTTCTACACTTGCAGTGGCACTCACTCAGTACGAACTCTGATGAAGACATGTTAGTGCTCTTGCTTACTGTGGACATTGTCCGGAGCACATGCTGAAGTCTCAGTTAGGATAAGAAGTTACTGTATCTGGACTACTAGGTACACTTTGCTGCTGCTGCCCATGCGAGTACGTCTTGTTAGAGTTCCACTGTATTTGAAATGGAAGTTGGGATCATTGACTGGTTGACTATATCATATGCCTGCAGCTTTATCCCTGTTGATCATGGTCTGTGCTTATACAGTGGATTTGTTCAACGTCTGCGGCAGGTCACTAATTTTGCTCAAATTTGCTGCTGATTGCATGCTTGACCGGTGTGACATCACTAGCATTGTGTTGTTGTTCTCTTTTTGGGTTTTTTGTCACTTTATAGCACACTTCTTCTCCCATCGATTTCTTCAACTTGGTAAGCCATCTCTGTGATAAATGCATTCACAATTTCACATTTGTACTTTTCTTGTATGCTTGCCTTGAAAAGAGTATTCTAACAGAGGACGAGGTATGCATTATGCAATGATTCTTTTGTCCTTTGTCGTCTAGGCATGTTAAACTTGCAGCAGTTACCCTGGCTTGTGTGGTCACCCTGGCTTGAGAGGTCACCCTGGCTTGAGAGGTCACCCTGGCTTGAGAGGTCACCCTGGCTTGAGAGGTCACCCTGGTTTGAGAGGTCACCCTGGCTTGAGAGGTCACTCTTGCTTGAGAGGTCACCCTGCCTTGAGAGGCCACTGACATGCAATACTGTGCTAGACCAGTCCCATGTGTATAACTATAATCCGGCTTCATCTCTACTCTTTTTGCCTGAAACCACTGTGATGTTGCTCTTTTCATCTATCATTTTCAGATGCACCATCCATTCCACCAGGATCGTTATCAAAATGGGCCGCATCTCCGCCAAAGGCGTCACCGTCAGTCGCCATTCCCCGATCAGCCGCCAGGGTATGGTTCCTGTGACTACTGTCTGAGCAGGGTTGGACCTTTCCTTGTACATCATGTGTGCAGAGGCATGGCTGAACCTCGTCATTCTATCAGTTGTCCTGCTCATATAGTGTACATGTACTCGACAATTGTTTACACCCACTGCTCTTTTAAGCATCAGAATTTGGCCGTGTACTGATTGCTCTGCTCTTGTCTTGTGCTTTCTAGGAGACGACACGGCCCACTCCCCGTCCAAGGACGCGTGTACCAGCTCGTCAGAACGCTTCCCCGGAGGCCGGTTCCCCGCGAGTCGCCGGTCAAGCCGTGCCAATACCGGCACAACGGCGCTCTCACCGTGAGAACAGCCACGAGGACAGCCCACCCGTCGGATCCTACCCAGGCTCTTCTCCGTCCAGTGTTGGCATGTCCAGAGAGAATCTTCACATGCTGCAGCAGTCAGTAGAGAGTACCTACTCTGCTCACCAGAGGGATTGCGTTGCAAGCCAGATATCCGTGGACAGTTACGGCAGCTCGGTCGATGAGACTCTGTTCCATCCGTCGTCGTTCGACCCGCCGTCTTTTGCACGTGTAGGCGACTTTAAGGACAGACACCTCGGTCAGTGCATACGGTAACATTGTACATGTATATCCTCCTGTATTTCTTCTAATAGACTCCTTTATTTGAGCACTGTTGTCGTATATGAGACACTTAGACCCCCCACCCCAGATGTTCTTCGCAAATATTGTATCATTCCCGAATATTTGTCACTCCCCCCCCCCCCCCCCCCCCCCAACATCCCATATTGTCTATTATTGACCTGGTAAGAAATGTAGGACCAAGTCCTCACAAGTTCACAATGGCTGGAAACTTTAGTCTGTTGTAAATCTGACTTTCATGGCGTTTGGGCCAATCATCATTGACGATAATGATGAGCGTGTGGAGGGTTATGCAATGGCAGCTTTGCTTTGTTAAGACCCAAATCCTTTTTATTCGTTCTTAGTAGGAACCGGAGGTTTTCCTCTGGTGAGAAGGCAGAATTGTGTGTGCTCGAAATGTATTCAAATAAAAGAAAGACACAAACAAACTCAATGTGCGGAAATAGAGCGTCCTGTATGCCCTGCCGTGACCACTTGTTATCTGTCTGTTCCTGTGTGCTTGTGCTATCAACAGATGCTGTCAGCCAACGGACAGTGGATGGCGGTGTAAGTCTTGCGCATTCTGACCAATTTATGTCTCTTTTGATTCAGTTTCGAAGTCTTTTCTCATGGAGTACGTATGAAAGAAACGAGAAGTGCCGTTCTCTTTGTTGGTAGCCTGGCCACCACAACCCCTTGTCCCTCTCCATAACACTGCGTTATTCAACCCTTTGCCCTCTGTAACACCGTGTTATTCAACCCTTGCCCTCTGTAACACTGTCTTCTACCGCTCCTGGAAGAAGTGGTCTCAGGTGCACAGTAGTCAATAGGAGTGTTGGCTGCAGGTAGTATTGCTAGCTGTGTTGAAGTAGGTTGCTGCCTTCAATCATTTGTCGTTTTATGTTGACATGTTCCAAGATACATACGTCTATTTCAATTTGCCTTTGATGTGTCTATTTCTTCTTTCTTTGCCTGTTCCCTTCTCACTGTAGTATGTGCTGGTATCGCGTCAGCCAAGCCGAGATGGTGAGTAGTTAGGTGTAACTTAACTTGGCATTGTGCTGCTGCTGCTACTGGTGGTGGTGCTGCTGCTGCTGCTACTGGTGGTGGTGCTGCTGCTGCTGCTGCTGCTACTGGTGGTGGTGCTGCTGCTGGTGGAGGTGCTGCTGCTGCTGCTGGTGGTGGTGGTGGTGCTGCTGCTGCTGCTGATGGTGCTGGTGCTGCTTTTCTTGGTGCGGCTGCTGCTGCTGCTGCTGTTAGCATTAATGTTGGTGTTGTTGTTGTACCCCTTTTCCTTGTTGTTCCTCTAGCTGTTCCTGTACTCTCTCTCCCCCCCCCCCCCCCCCCCCCCAAATGCTGTATAATGTTTTCTATACAAAGCTTTTGTGCATGAAACGCAGCGTTGCAACAATGGCCTAGCCGGGTGTCTCTGTTCTCTTCTGCCTTTGTGGAATGTTTTGAATATGCAATGTGTGTGTGTGTATGTGTACTTCTTTGTGTATATTTCAGAAGCGCGCTCGTCCAGTGGAAGCTCGCTTGGTCAGTCACCTCGTCTTCCTCACTACATGCGCAGTCACGCTGCAGGTCAGACGGGTACACGGCCCGCCACACAGCCCGTCAGCACTCCTGGTGCCACTCCGTCATCTGTGGGTAGCCACACCGGAGGCTCATCGCCATGGATGCGCCGTCTCCCTGGTGACGGCGGCACGGGCAGCGGCTCCTTGCCCAGGCAGACCAGCGCCAGTGGAAGCCCGTTTGTCCAGCGGCAGTCGTACGAGAGCTCCCATTCGGGCTCCTTTCACAGCCGCCAGGCCGCGGGGCCGTCGGCTGGCAGCAGCGGAGGCAGTGGCGGTGGTATGCGTGCCTATCAAGCCCACCGGAACAGCAGCCGACGCAGTGTTGGCTCCTTCGACGGAGCCTCTCCAGCATCCATGCGCCATGGCGGCGGCGGTGCCAACTCCTTTGACTCCAACCAGGATGCGGCGAGTTCGGCAAGTCCTATTGGACAGTATGTGTCACCATGGAAGCATCGCCAGGACAGCCTTCCACAGCAGCATGCCAGCAGAGCTATGCCGCATCTGGACAGTGATCTACAGCAGATAAGCACCGTAAGAGCACACAGGACTAAGTCAGTGTGGTGGCATGGGTGAAATCAAGAGTACATAACCCCCCAGAGTGTGCAACTCCACTATGGGTGCTGTCCCGACAGAATTTCAAGTTGACGTCATTTTGATGATGCAATGCGCACTGTACACGGATTATCAGACGAATCCGGAACCTGTGGTTGACCGAAGCCGATCGATCCTGTACAAATTATTGCAAAGAAAAACGTGTGATGCGTTGACACCCGTACACTTGTTGTAAATCACTGGTGCAAGGAGCATTGCGTCATAAATAATGACGTCAACTTGAAATTCTGTCGGGACAGCAGGGTATGTGGGAGTTGCACACTCTGGGGGGTTATGTACTCTTGGTGAAATCCTACATCATGCTGGGTTCAGCCATGTGCTTCTAGGCCCTAGTCTAGTACATTGTAGTGAGACCGCTAGTTGTACAGTTTGTTATTGAATGTTGCAGCAGTGCTGGCTCATGCATTGGTCCTATCTCGGTACCTGTCACTACTGCTCCTCTAGTGCAGCATATTACTACAGTATTGTACACGTGTGTGTGTGTGTGTGTGCATTGGCGTGTCGGATCACTATTGCCTGTGCTGTGCCTCGTCTTTGCTCAATGTGTGCATCTGTATTTGTGTGCACGTGTGTGTGTGTGGGTGTGTGCACGTGTGTGTGTGTGGGTGTGTGTGCGTGTGTGCATGTGAATGTGTAAACATTTGGTTTATAAAATGTGCAGAAAATCCTTGAGGAATGCCTGAGTAGGTGTGAACGAGCGCTAACTCTGGGCAACACGGCCCTGGCCATGATCAACTGCAGGGCGAAAGTGTTGGATTCCATCTGCCTACAGGTAACAAAGATTACCAGCTACTTTATTAATTAAGGAATTATGTGTCGCTCCCTACATGGGAGCTCGCGCTTTTCCTGCCGACTTGAATTCTCACTTGACTGACTCACGAGAAGTCCATCGAACCGTCCACTCGGCAAACCTGCAAGAAAGCACCACTCCCTGCTCAATACATGGGCCACAACCAGCTAAAACATGTCTTAGAGTGAAATTTTTCAAATTTTGTTTTCCTCCAGAAAACAGTTCTTGGGACCTTACTTGACCTCTTGAAGGTGATACAGGGCAGAAAAGTAGTCTACAAGTGCCCCAAACACTGCTTTCAAAATAATATGTACTTTGAAATAGAAAATGACAGTTTTCGCACAGTCTGACACAAAGAGACAAACTTAGTGGCTTTTGCGGCGGAGCACAATACAACGGAACTAAAGATGTTGACACAGACTTGAGCATGTCAACGACATCAGTTCAAAGGCATGGCCCAAGTTCTTCCTGGAAAGCAACACGATGCTCTGGGCGGCGTTGCACTTGCATACTCTTTTAATTCTGGCAGTGACACTTTCGATCGTCGCCTGCGCTTCCGAGACTGCGTCAGACGACTCATGAGAGCTGAACGCAAGTAACGCCGTAAGGCAGCCGGTTCGCCGCCTAATGATTATGTACTAGCCCACAACTTGTGCCTCTTCGCTGCTGGAGACGACGGGGACGATTCAGCTTCGCTGTCGACATCAACATCACTGAGAATCCCAACAAATTGTCAGCGTCGCTCTGCAGACCCGCCGCCACGGACTTGCAGGCACCTGAACAAACCTGGGCCATGCCCAGCGATCGTCTGGCCCTGCGAGCTGCTCTAGTATCACTAGATGCGGACATTGTCAGTCTTTGCTCGCCAGCTACTTGAACTAGACCGCCAAACAAGTGTTTGAACAAAATTTGAGAAGATGATCGCCACATCATGAATGAAGTGCAGAGTGAACGCGCTCCAAAAAAACATTTTTTTTCATTTCGTCATTTCCCAACTTTTTTTACGAAACCCCAAAGACATGTTTTAGCTGATCGCGGCCCACATAGTGTTTCGGGGAATTCACCCCTCATCAGTTGAGCTTGAGTAGGCTGAGGAAGATTGTGCCTGAAGAGCACCACTTATATAGTGCTCTCCATGCACAAACATCACCAGGGATACAAACTTACAGAGACACTCCGTTTCCAGCACAACAAACACCTCGTGAACACCAGATAGCGGTGTGAGTCAATGTCGCTCATGGAGGTGCTGAACAAGCGCTGAGGACCGTTGGCCATTCACAACGTTGTTGCCTTCAAACCTTCTAGTTCGCAAGCCCGCGCTGGGGACAACAATGTTATTACTCAACGGGGAAGTACACCCTAAAATGAAAACCTCACGATCACAACATGTAGCGAAAAATGCACTGATCCCAACGGTGAAGGTCCCAGGTTGATCGGAGCAGCCGTTCCAAAGTTTTCACTAAATTTGGTGATATCATGATGACGTCATTAACTTGCCTGGAGTAGGCCATCTCTGTGACCGTGTGATTACCACATTTCCCTGGATCTAAGTCACACCTTTTTCGTGGCACTAAATATTCAAGGGTAAAAAAAATGGGATGCGCTTACAATCAAGCATGACTTACTACCGAAGTCAATATATCCAATCAATATGGCTCAAACCTGAAAATGGGGGTGCGACTTACAATCGACTGTGGCTTATAATCGGGGAAATACGGCAGTCCAGCAATGGCTACAGCAACAGCTTACCAGGGGGTTTCCCGAGCAAGAGCAACAAGTCATTGCATGCACTGTATCACCCTGACTCCGATACTGTTCCGTGTAAATGCACATTGCCAGCAGCTGCACATGTGCTCACTGCTGTACTGAAGTTCAGCATCTATCACTGAGCCTTCCTTCTGCCTCCTGCATTCTGTTTTCTGTGCGTGTACAGGAAAACCCAGACGTCATTTCCGGCTTTCAGAAGCGGTAAGGTTTGTGTTGAATTGCTCAGATGTATCTGCTGACAGTTTGTAGCAACTTTTCTAGCCGCATATGACCGTGTGATTTGTAATGACTTTGCCTTTATGGCTTGTGCCAGCATTAGAAAGCAATGGTGTCTAAAAATGGGGCTGTATCTAATAATAATAATCTGCATCTAACATAATAATCACTCAATCTGCGGACAGCATGCTGTTTCGTTCTTTTTGAACTCATCAGCGCAGCACAGAGGAAATGAGGCCGAACCTGATAGTAATGAAAATAAAAATTTCCAATCAGACCCGAACGTACCTTGCCAGAGTGCTCAAACTGACAAGTCAGTGAGCTCTGCATAACGCAAACAGCAAAGGCACTACCCCACGCAAGAGTGCTCAACTGCTACAAGAGCAGGAGCGCGCTAACATAATAATCATGCGTGTGCTTGGATCTGCTGGCCGATATTGACTGATGTTTGTTTGTTTTTGCAGTGCGGTTGTGGTGTACTGTCTGTGCAAGAAGCTTGCCGTGTACTTGTGCACTCACCTTAACCACTTGAAGAAGGAGTGCCAGTTGGACAGTCAGATCATCTGTCCGGCGTTACAGTCTGGTGAGTGAGTGAGTGAGTGGGTAGGTGAGTGGGTGGGTGGGTGGGTGAGGGGGTGGGTGAGGGGGTGGATGGATGGTTGATTGAGTGGGTGAGTGAGTGAGTGCCTCTGCTACTCCTGCTACTTAGGCTGCTAATGGAGAAGAACTCAAGACGTTGCTTGTGCCATGCCTTGTCATCACGTTGTGTAGCTGTAGTGTTTCGCTGTGTAGGTGCTCTCTAGAGAGAGGAGAATGTTTGAAATCTGGACTGTTCAGTTTTGCTTCCATGTGTCTGCTAGTGCTATGTCAATGGTGTGTCAATGGCAAGGTACCTTAATGTCGCGTATAAAAGCAGGTGCTTACGGCCGTATAAGCCGGGGTTCAAGCCATGCTTCTATTCAAGTTATGCTTCTATTTAAAACATGCTTCTACGTCAACATCATCAGTGTACACTGTGCAGTGCATACTGGCACGTATGTACTGTGCACGTACTTGCACGTGTCTTTGCAGAGAGCGGCTTCTATTCAAATCGTGCTTTGTGTCACGGCGCGCTTCGAAAAACCGGCTTCTATTCGAGTCATGCTTCTGTACAGGTCATGCTTTTATACGCGACACTACGGTATGTCTATCAATACATGCCGTCTCTCACTGGTGCTTCTTCGTGTGTGTGTGTGTGTGTGTGTGTGTGTGTGTGTGTGTGTGTGTGTGTGTGTGTGTGTGTGTGTGTGTGTGTGTGTGTGTGTGTGTGTGTGTGTGTGTTGTGTATAAGTACAGTTGTGAGAGATCTGTATGCACTGCATGCTACTGCCATGGAAAAGAGTGACCGGCTACTGAAGATACTACTGTACAAGGATGTCAGTACTGAGAAGGTAAGGTGATTGCTGCTGCTGCTGCTGCTGCTGCTGCTGCTACTGCTGCTGGTGTCATGTGCATATACATCATGTGTGCGTGGATGCTTCAAGTGATGGGCTTTGCACTCCCTTTCCACTTCTGAGTCCATCCGTCTGTTAAACTATTGTCAAGCGTCCCCAACCCTACCAGTGTGCAACTCTGAGCTGTGGGTGCTCTGGGAGCTATGGGTGCTCTGGGAGCTATGGGTGCTCTGCGCGCCACACTGCCGTCATATCACATACGTAGTGAAATGACCATGAAGCTGTCTGGATTTTAGTTTCCTACGGTTTAGCCGCAACAATGGGGGGGGGGGGGGGGGGGGGGAGTCCAAAGGAGGTGCCTGTGCGTGCACAACGCATCACGCGCAAACCCACCTGAAGTCTCCGAGGAAACTTCAAAGCAGATTTGGAAGCAGGAAACCGTGGCAGATCAATAATGACGCCATGGCTCACAGTCCGTTGCTACGTACTAATGTGAGCAGTGTGCCACGCCAGGCCCCATACTAGTATGCAGAGTGGCACACTCTTGGGGTTATGTACTCTTGCTAGTGTCTTGCTGCCACCATGACTGAAGACTGGAGGTGCTGTGTGAGAGCAGGATACTAGCACTTGACCTGATACACTGACTCATGTAACGTGAGAGAACGTATTCTGCTGCTTGACTTCCCTCATGAACATATTATTCTTGTTTTATAGTAAAACCTGTCAAGGCGACCACCTGTTCGAATAGACTACTGGGACCAGGATCAAGGGATGCGATTTCCAGTCGAATTACCCTGGATAAGGAGACCGCCTGGTAGCAGAGACCACATGTTGAAAGTCCCTAGATAGAGCGTTAGTCTTATAGGCAATTCACACGACAGGCACTTGCACGTTTTACAGGGAGTGACATACGAGAAAAGTGACTGTGTCGATTCACACAGCTGCACTTGACGACAGACACGTTTGCATTGTTGAATGCTTCACCGACCAGTAGCCATGGGTATTTCAAATTTTCAAAACACGCATACAATAATTATCATGTTCTAAAGCGCCGCGTAAAAAATCAAGTCTTGTTTCGCGCTTTTTGGTGTAAATGTACTCGTGAAAGTGGGTGAAAGTGGGCCCCCAGCTCGCTTGCACTTTTCAGCTACTTTCAGCCACTTTTCTCGTTCACAGGTAAAATACCATAGCAACGTTCCGGTGCACGTGGATTTGCCTGTCGTGTGAATACCCTATTAGGCAAGGTTCACTGTAGTTTCATGCTGTGCTATGTGCAGGTGTCGGCAGAGGAGGAGGTTTACCAGTATGCCCTGCTCAAGGTGTGTACTCAACTAGCTACTTTGTGTGCTTGTTATTGCATGTATGGTATCCCCTGTGTACTTGTCTTCTCGCTGGGTAGACATACTCCACTGTGATGGTATCCCCTGTGTACTTGTCTTCTCGCTGGGTAGACATACTCCACTGTGATGGTATCCCCTGTGTACTTGTCTTCTCGCTGGGTAGACATACTCCACTGTGATGGTATCCCCTGTGTACTTGTCTTCTCGCTGGGTAGACATACTCCACTGTGATGGTATCCCCTGTGTACTTGTCTTCTCGCTGGGTAGACATACTCCACTGTGATGGTATCCCCTGTGTACTTGTCTTCTCGCTGGGTAGACATACTCCACTGTGATGGTATCCCCTGTGTACTTGTCTTCTCGCTGGGTAGACATACTCCACTGTGATGGTATCCCCTGTGTACTTGTCTTCTCGCTGGGTAGACATACTCCACTGTGATGGTATCCCCTGTGTACTTGTCTTCTCGCTGTGTAGACATACTCCACTGTGATGGTATCCCCTGTGTACTTGTCTTCTCGCTGTGTAGACATACTCCACTGTGATGGTATCCCCTGTGTACTTGTCTTCTCGCTGTGTAGACATACTCCACTGTGATGGTATCCCCTGTGTACTTGTCTTCTCGCTGGGTAGACATACTCCACTGTGATGGTATCCCCTGTGTACTTGTCTTCTCGCTGTGTAGACATACTCCACTGTGATGGTATCCCCTGCATACTTGTCTTCTCGCAGGGTAGACATACTCCACTGTGATGGTATCCCCTGTGTACTTGTCTTCTCGCTGGGCAGACATACTCCACTGTGATGGTATCCCCTGCATACTTGTCTTCTCGCAGGGTAGACATACTCCACTGTGATGGTATCCCCTGTGTACTTGTCTTCTCGCTGGGTAGACATACTCCACTGTGATGGTATCCCCTGCGTACTTGTCTTCTCGCTGGGTAGACATACTCCACTGTGGCCAGTGTGTAGGGTTTTACATCGACCATGACCGCTACAATGACCAACCAGACCGCAACGAAGTTGGGGCCGAATAGAGAGAGAGAGAGAGAGAGAGAGAGAGAGAGAGAGAGAGAGAGAGAGAGAGAGAGAGAGAGAGAGAGAGAGAGAGAGAGAGAGAGAGAGAGAGAGAGAGAGAGAGAGAGAGAGAGAGAGAGAGAGAGAGAGAGAGAGAGAGAGAGAGAGAGAGAGCTTATTTTCTTTCCGTCGAAAATGCAGTGGCCATTTCTATCGAATCATGTACAAAAATTGAAAAATGCATGCACGCAAGTCATCACAAGTGTGTGTTTTCTTGTGTGCGCGTCAGGCGTCAGGCCTGTGTGTATTTGTGTGCTGCACTTGTCCTCTACTTACACTGCCTTCTGTCATCTTTCTTCTCCTATGTGCTGCAGTTATCAAACGCTACTTCTGATATGAGGTTCATTGGCCGGGTAAGTCATCGCAACCACTCCCTGGATGTTGCTGTTTGGTATTCTGTTACACCAGCAAAGTAATTTGGCAGCTGAAGAACTCTGTGTCTACTTGCGATGCAAGTATAGGCAGGTCCCAGTCAGGTCAGGTCAGGTCCCAGTCAGGTGACTGGAGAACTCTGGGTGTGTGAAACTCTGCAGCATCAATGCGAGTAGATTGTCGTGCATTTCTGGCACAGTTTGACCAAAGCCTTGTACAGGTCCACTCTAGTTAGTAGTAGAAAACCCGGGGGGGGGGGGGGGGATTCACCTTTTTTTTTAATCCCCGAGATACAATCTCGTATCTGTACAGGCACGTACGATGGTACACATTATATGAGTGGATTTCGGACCGTTGTCTTCTAATGTACGATCAACTTTGCGTATAACGACACTTGGCGGGGCATCAGAAAGGCGTCCTTATTCGCGAAGTGTCGTTACACCCGAAGTCTCATTAGGCCAAAACAAAAAATAGGCTTGTTTCCGGTCGGCAACCCCTCAAAAAGGAGACTCGGTCGGCCGGAATGAAACTTTTTTTGGATACCTTTTTTTTGGTTCCTCAATCGTTGTGCCAACTTGTGGTATTGATGGTCAAGATCACCTACACATGTAAATTGTACATATATCATGGCAAGGATCAATGTCAAAGTTGACTGACTCACTGTTCTTGTACAGCATGTGGTGTATTCCTGTTTTCGTACATACTGAGAAATCAAGCAAACAGTTCGAGTCTTTCCAGCTCCGTTATTCTAGCTCGTATCGACCCCGGAGGTTTTCGAGCCGACAGCTGAGAATCTCTGCTAGTGCTACCTTGTAGCTGTTTCGATTGTGGAATTCGGTTGAGATTTGACTGAGTTATGACTCGTTGAGTGCACTTGCACACGTGGCATTGCCACCGTTTGTATACATTTGGGACCAAAAAAAAGTTTCAGAATTTGGGAAAAAGTGGCCCGGTCGGGCGACCGGAAACAAGGTCATTATTTGTTTTGGCCTTATATGTATTCAGTTCGATGGGACTTTGTGATGGACATGGGAAATGCTGTCGTTATTCGCGAATTGTGGTTCTATCCGCAGTCGTTATTAGCGTGTAGTTGACTGTAGTCTGTATTGTATTGTACCCGATGTCATGTTAATGGGTGTAGACTGTAGACCTGTACCATGATAACATATACTTTGAACGACTGTTACTACTATCATACTATTGTACAGTTGTGGGTGATGACATCCAGACCGATACATGTAGTGGTAAGCGTCCCAAACTGATTTTCGAGGATGTTGTCTATGGGCGCGAGGCCACGTGTCCTTCAGCGCTGCATTGGACATTTGGTCCAGTTTCCAACTTTCCCCTGGCGACAACCGTAGCCCTGCATTGATCTACTGTGTTATTTGTGTTTGTGTGTGTGTGTGTGTACACGTGTATGCATGTGGGTGTGGGTGTGTGCACGTGGGTGTGGGTGTGTGCACGTGTGTGGGTGTGTGGGTGCTCTGGTGTCTTGTGTATCAGGGCTGCAAGGGCAGGCTTGAGCAGGAGATTTCTCAAGTTGTTGACTTGACCCTGTACCTATTGGACAGCTATAGTATCATGCACTCCCAGGGAATCGTCAGTAGCGACCTGTACCGCTATCAGAATACCATTGGCGATCGTATCCACTCCTACCGCTGCCACTAATGCTGCTGCTGCTGCTGTGACGATGTCACCTGTGTGTGTGTGTGTGTGTGTGTGTGTGTGTGTGTATGTGTGTGTGTGTGTGTATGTGTGTGTGTGTGTGTGTGTGTATGTGTGTGTGTGTGTGTATGTGTGTGTGTGTGTGTGTGTGTGTGTGTGTGTATGTGTGTGTGTGTGTGTATGTGTATGTGTGTGTGTGTATGTGTGTGTGTGTGTGTGTGTGTGTGTGCATGTGCTTATGAATTTATCTCGGGGGTCGTCTCAAAAGTTTTTTTGTCGTCCCTGAAACGAACATCCTTCATTCGAGGGAGGGGGTCGCAAAGATCGCAAGTCAACCAACACTCTACACATATGTGGCTTGTGTCAGCCAGCATAGCAAATTGCATTCATTACCTTTCCGAGTATAAAGTGAACGATGTTCCTTTCAGGGACAACAAAGAAAGCTTTTTGCTCCGACCCCGTGCACGTCCGTGCATGTGTTTGTGCGTTTTTGCTGGCAAGTGCCTGTATATGTCTTGGCCCAGTATCTTGGTTGAGATAGCCATCATGCACGTGTATACAGTACTTGTTAAGTAGCACAATGCAAGGCCAGGGTGTAACGTGACCTTCTAAATAATGCTGGTGATGGATATTTTGCCAGTGCAATCAACAGCTGTTCTAGGAATGGGGAATAGGCCTCGGGATCTATTCCAACCAGGCTTGTTTGGCCTCGGGATCTATTCCAACCAGGCTTGTTTGGCCTCGGGATCTATTCCAACCAGGCTTGTTTGGCCTCGGGATCTCTTCCAACCAGGCTTGTTTCGCCTCGGGATCTATTCCAACCAGGCTTGCTTCACCTCGGGATCTATTCTAACCAGGCTTGTTTGGCAACCAGTAATACTTCCATTTATGTCCGCACAAAGTTCAGACCTGTGTAGCACTGATCCCTCTTGATAAGGAGACCGGCTTGTATTCCGAACAAGCATCTTCTCTACATTGATCATTGCATATCCTAGTACAGCAGCCTGCGTATTGATCTATGTAAAATGTAAAATACAGCTTGCCTTTTAGCCCGGCAACTTGCTTGCAGCATTCTTCCTACTCTCTGACGTTTGTCGGATATCCTATCATCTTTTCCTTGACCCGCCTCTCCTTCAGTACGGAAAGTCGCTTTGGCCAAACTAGAGACCCTGGCAACATGATAGGAACCATGCTTGCTAGTGACACCGCGTTCTTTGGACTTTGACCACCACCACGTGCAGTTCATCTGCATCTCAAACGTTGTTTTTCGTGTAGTCTTTCAAGCAGACGTATCCGGCTGGCTTCATCGTCTCGGCACATTTATCAGTGCTCTGTGTGCTTGTTCTGCATGTCTGTGCTATCTAGAGGGAGTATTGTGTGCGTGTATATATGTGTGTGTGTATATATGTGTGTGTGTGTGTGTGTGTACGTGTGTGTGTGTGTGCATGTGTGTGCGTGCGTGCGTGCGTGTGTGTGTGTGTGTGTGTGTGTGTGTGTGTATCTCTGTGTGTATATCTCTGTGTGTCGGTGTGTGTGTGCACACACCCGTGCGGGTGTGTGTGTGTGTGTGTTAGTATTGTGTCTGTATGTTAGATTGTCTGCTGGGCAGTGAACAATACATGCAAGATTAGGCTGCTTTCGTTTTCTAGGCTAGCACTAGGGAGTAGGGAGTAGGGAGTAGGGACTGTCTTCTTTGTGAATAGTGCTGTGCTGACTCATAGCACCGTGCCACGGCTGTGGTTGACCTTTTTATGAGTTACACTGGCAAGGTAACACCTTGCCCTGATACCTCCTACATGTCTTTGCTTGCAACAGAATTCTATTACCCAGAGTGGGCACAGTTCTTTTTGCGGCACCTCAGCAGTTTTATTGGCGCACTATCACATTAAATTTTATGATGAGGTTGATTGCTCCAACGAGAAACACACCCTTCCTGCCGAACTTGACACTTGACTGACTCAGGACTGCCATCCAGAGCACACGGCAGTGCGCAAGTTCGGCAGGAAGCGTGTGTTCCTCGTTGGAGCAACCAACTTCATCACTAATACCGCCGAAGTTGCAATTTTTACATTACACTCACATAATTATGTTATCTTTACCAGTGCCGTGCTGTTCAGCCCGTGTCAATGCTCTTATCTTTATTCGCTCTTCTATCCCAGATGATGTCCAGTCTGTTTGTTGGCCTGCTGCAAGCCTAAGTCATGCTTGCTTTCCGTGACGTATCTTTCGTGTTGATGTTCATTTTTAAGTATCTTTTTCTTTCTCATGCCAGTCACGATGTGACAGCGTCATTATGAGACGTTCTACACTTTCGATTTCGAAACCTTGCCGCATATATTGTGCTTTTAATAATACCAAAGTGCATTTTGTTCTACCGTGTTTCCACGCTTTTCTCAGCTGCAATTGTGTATTCCAGGACTGCTCTCTCTCTCTCTCTCTCTTGTCAGTGCTTCCAACTCTCTTTCTCAGTATGCCAGTACTCTCTAATAGAATGTAGTCCTCTCACCAACCATCAACTATGGTCAGTCTTAGAATGGACTTGGTCCTTTTTTTTCTTTTCTATATACCATGGTGTTGAAGTTCTTTCTATCTAGAGAGCGAGTGCCTTGGTCGGGGACGTATTTTCCTTTTCTTCATCGTACCGACGTACTCACAGCAGAACACTCATCTTTTTAGGTGTTTGTTTTCTACTCTCTCAATGCTGAGCTGCTCAGTTACCATGGGCACTGGAGATAAAACTTTGCAGTTCAAAAAATGCGAAAATCAAATCGCTGCGTTTGTTGTGTGTGTCGGTGTGCGCACTTATACCTGTCTGCACCATATCTTGTGCCAGGTAGGGTGATGGCACGTGTATGCCTGAAACCACGGTGGTCTTATTGCATGTAATGTTCTCTATCCCTCCCTTTCTCTATCTCTCTATCTAGCTATCTATCTATCTCTTTCTCTCTCTCTTTCTCTCTTTCTCTCTCTCTCTCTCTCTCTCTCTCTCTCTCTCTCTCTCTCTCTCTCTCTCTCTCTCTCTCTCTCTCTCTCTCTCACACACACACACATACACACACACACACACACACACACACACACACACACACACACACACACACACACACACCACTTCTTTGCAGCAGTTCATTGAAAGGTCTAATCAATTAAAAAAATCAGTATAAAGCTCCTTGCATACCTACTATAATCATTCTGAAGTCACAAAGTATGTAATGGACTCACTAACATTGTTCTATAGATTCATACTGTATCAAGCGGCACGGCCAAGCCCGCAATAATTATGGGAAATAGGTCTCTGGGGTACGTTAGTGGGGACATGCAACAAGCAGTAGACAAGTCCACAGCTACAAATATAGGAGTTCAACATCGAAATATCGGTTACATATATACATGTACATTCTGTTTGATTGCTGTGTAAGAAGTATCGCGTCACGTGTGCAGAATTCAACAGCATTACGTAGTGGTGATATCTGTAGACTAGTAGTACGGCAGCAACAGCTAGACCGTTCTCGACGTAAAACACCTTGTTTGTTGCTCTCAACAAGAAAGAAGTCTTCATCGATGAAACAGACCAGTGATTCGTTGATGGATTCAGTGACCAAACATGATTCTTCCATACAAGACATTTGAGATCTGAGATTTGTACACGCCGACTACCAAAGGAAAGGTGTTCAACACCATAGTAAGCATGCAGTGGATTGCTGCCCCCTAATCATCCGGAGAAGCCAGCATCTGCTGCGGAGGTCGCAGATCCACCTGGTAGCGGAAATCAGTTTCGTAGCGCACCCACTTTTTGATGGGCTTCCTGGGTGTTGGCGTGATTTTCAGCCCCCACACTTGAGCACCACTGACGCAAGATCCCACCACTTGGTAGCGAAGCATTGCGGTCTGATTGACAAAGTCAGTCTTGGTCATGCCCGGCTGGACTTGGAAGTGGCAGGACAGTGCAACGCGCGCACCGGCTTGCGGTGGAAACTTGTCCATGCGCCACACGATGGCGCTGTTCTCCGGCTCGTACTTTGCTGTGCCAAACGAAGCTGTATGTGCGAGAGGGAAACAAACATGTGCACACACACACACACACAAGACATGTACATGTATGTGTGAGAGAGAATGACCCTGCATGGGTGTGTCTGTGGGAGTCTGGTATGCGGAAACGCCTTTCCAATCCTGGGAATCAGCAGATGCGTACAGATATACTTCAAAGAAGGGCTTCCCATGTATTTACAGTGAAACCTGTCAAAGGCAACCACTCAAGGGACTTTCAAAACATGAGATCCATGAGCACAAGCGGTCTCCTTATCCAGATTCATTAGAGTGGAAGCAACATCCCCTGGTCCTAGCAAAAGTAAATGAGCAGTCCCACGAATGTGTGCAGCTCTGCAGATTGGTTTCTCAAACGGTGAAAACATATAATGTGCTCCGGGTACGTTTTGTACTACGTAAAACAAAGGCCAGCGTGCGCGGAATCTGAACGTCAGCCATGATCATGCTGATGACCATAAAAGCTAGGTGGGTTCCCAGTGCTATTTTTATTACTCCACTGCTCGCTAAAGCTGGGCTGGGAAAGTACAACGTGAACACTGCACCACATATTGTGAGTTTTCGCCATGGACAGACCGGAGCTTCTCTACTCTTGCTCCTAGTTGTAGGGGTCCTCTAAAGCAGGTGGTCCTCTTGCCAGAGTGGTCGGCCCGACAGGTTTGACTTTACATCTAACGTTGGTTGGAGAAGCAACGTTTCTCCTCACTGTCCCCCTGGAGAGCGCACGTTGAATTGCATATGGTGTGTCAAGCAGGTGTTCGGGTGGTTGGTTAACACGTAGCTTCCATCGACACGGGCACTGAGCTGATGCAAGTACTGGGCCAAGACAGCACTGGGCCGTCAACTGCAATGGCTGAACTGCGCTTTGACCTACTTCGAAGTACATTTTTTTGTTTTTTGTTTTTGATTTATTTAAGTTTGTTGTCTCAACAGTACAATGTACAACTGCTAAGAGGGTCGAACAGAAAACAAAATAACTGAGGGTCATCAGAAAGGGAGTGAGGGAGAAAAACCAATACCTTCTAGGGTAGCGTGTGGAGTGCTTCTCTCGGAGCGCAGTCCCACAGCATTGTCACCGGACTTGACGCTGCGATAGCCAAACAACGGCACACGCTTGACCAGTATGTTGTGCCAGCTGCCGGGCACCGGGAAGTGCCACTCGACCTTCTCGATGGCGTGTCGCACCCGACCGGCGTGTGGCTGAAGCTCCAGTCGCACGTGCGTGTTGACAATGTCCGCTACTAACTCGATGTTCAGGTTTGTCACACGCAGTGGCGGGGGAAGACTGCCACCCACCTGAAACATCAGATCACAACACCAGATGGTCATAACTCACATCAGTATCATGCATGTCTTCTTGTTGGCCTGTGAAGTACTAATACTGTGGAAGACTGAGCTCTCACTCACCTGCACTTTCATCACCCATCGGCTCACACACTAGCTTCATTCTACAGTAAAACCTAATTTAAAAGCGTCCTATGGTACTAACGACCACCTAATGTCAATGGCAATTCTGTATAGAAACCAGGGGTGAAACGAACATGGATTTCCCCTTAAAATGAACCTTCTTTATCATAACGAACGAACATGCGAATATGTTCTGTAAGAGACTTCAATTTTCATGATTTACTGTCCGGGCTTTAATGTGTGGTGCACAACCAAATTCTGTACCAGCTATGGTCGACATTCATCAGCTGCCCCCTCCCCCCCCCCCCCCCCATGCCACACATGGAACTGATATGATCTCATATACGTGCACACACTTAGATGAAGTGCATTCGTGCGCGTATAACGCATCCAAACACTACACAGCAATGCAAAAGGACAGCACTTTTTCAAGTCCTGTCATTTTTCATGCATGCAGTACGCATTTTCCATACAGAACGAATCATTCGAATATTCGTTTAGCTAAACGGAACATTAAGACTATAATCCATGACGTACCTTGAAGCGCAACGCCTCGTAGCGCACGCCCTCCATGCACTGGAAGTTGAGCTCCAGGTCCTTCGTGTAGGACTCCTTGTTGATGGTCGGGTGCAGCTGCACGTCCGTCATGTGGATGGTAGACGTGTGCGGAGGCATAGTGACACAGCCCTTGGCGGTGCGTCGCCGGTGATCCACCATCTTGGTGTCGTTGATGATCATGCTGCACTCGGGCATGCCCGTCAGGAAGCCATGAACCATGGTGTGCACCGTCGATGTCCGTGCCTTCATGGCTCCATAGCAGTCCATCTGCACAGGCACAACACATGCAAACACACGGACAGGAATCGTACTGAGTATGGCAGTGAAATATGGACCCCTGAGGTGACACTCACCTAAACTCTATCCTCTTCGCCATTGGCCCAAAAGAATGAGTTTGCTTTATTGGTGCCTAGAAGGAAGACCTTTATATTGCTTTCCTTCTTCTCCAGTGAATTCATCCTAAACCATCACCCAAACTCTTTGATGGCTCAAACGTGCAGTTTTTTCTACATAGCATAGCAAAAACAATTGTTTATCTCATTTTGTACTATCAGTGCATTCCTTCCTTGCCACATTGGAGAGTGGAGATGCAAAGGACATGGGGTTAGTAATTCATAGAAAAGAAAAGGACCAATGAAGAAGGAAGAAAGATTGTGGGAGTATTGTATCGGAATTGATTGAAGAGAAGGATTCAGTGCAAATGTTCCTCACCATAACTATGCAGCGGTCAATTAGGTCGACAAAGATCTCGTTCTTGCTGAACCTTGATCGCTGGTAGAGCTGTAATGGTAACTTGCGTATCGAATTGAGAACATCACTTACAAAACTCTCCAAGAGAAGCAGATCATAGCTGCCAAGCTGCAATACACACGCACGCACATGCACACATACGCATACCACACGCATATCAGTGCACATGCACGCAGACAGTCAAACTCTCTTCACAGTTGCATGGAATGGTGGTGAGTGCAGGGTTGGGGTTGGGGGGGGGGGGGAGGGGGGGGGGGAGAACTGCCCGGGGGGGGGGGGGAGCACTGCCCAGGGGGGGAGCACTCCCCAGGGGGGGGGGGGGAGAACTGCCCAGGTACAGCACCTTCATGGCCTCTTCTCACTGCGGGTAACACTATCAAACCAAGGTGGATCTTGAAGGTCACACCCCACTGCTGGCACACCCAGCTTACATCCATGCAGCCTATATTGCTGTCAAGTAAGGCCGAGTTACCTTCAGCACTGTTGCCTTGATGGGCTCATGGGTAACGGCAAACATGTTCTTGAGTGATCGACGCTCTTCATGGTTGTGGACCTGCAGCTTGATTGTGTGAAGCCGTACTCGACTATCTGAGTCAACGCGCCGTCGCTCAATCGTTGTGAACGCCATCTCGTGCCGCAGCGTTATCTCAGCCAGTGACTGGGTTTCAAAGAACCCTTGCTGCTGCTGTTGTCCACCTGTGCGATTGTCATCTGACAATCAGTGCAGATCAGAAGCATAGCATTGGTAGAGACTACATTCAGATCGGCT